ATATAGGTATAGATATATAATATAACCATATTTATATAGGTATAGGTATATATCTATGCCTATATTTGTATAGGTACAGATATATATCTATATCTATACCTATGTTTATATAGATATATATATCTACATCTACACCCATATCTATATAGATATATATATCGTGATCGTTAAAGTTGTGTGTCAACTTGGCTTGGCCATGATTCTCAGTGGTTTGGCAGTTATGATTTAGTTTGGCATTGGTATGATGATGTGATCTTTTCCATGAAGAAATTTGATATAATGTGATCACCTCTGTAATAGGGTCTACAGTGAGTACCCAAGCAGTTGAAAGGGCATTACTTGGGAGTGTGGCCTACATTCAAATATAGCTGGACACTCTGGCAAAGCTCAGAGGCTTTTGCTTGCTCTGAATCTTGCAGCTGGCTCCTGTTTCTCTGATCTCTAATTCTTGGGACTTGAGCTAGCACCTTACCTGCCGTCTTGCCTGCCAATCTTGGGATTTGTTGATGTTCACAGCCTGTGCCCAAGAGCCCTGCTGTCTGACAGATCTTGAGTATGTCTGCCCCTGTGGCTAAGTGAAACAGGAGAAGCTTCCAACCTGACCCATGGAATTCAGAATATTCCAGCCTCTACAACCAAGTGAGTCAGAACTGCTGACCATTTTCTTAGCAGCCAAGTTCTTAACCCTTGCGCCACCAGGGCTCCTTTCCTATATATAAATCTCTATATATAGACATTCATACGTTTTAATGGTTTTGCTTCTCTAGAGAACCCATCAGAAGCCTAGTATGTATATGAACAAGTATATTTGTTGTTGTTAGGTGCCATGGAGTCGGTTCCCACTCTTAGCAACCCTATGTACCAAAAACACTGCCTGTTCCTTTGCCATCCTCAAAGCAATTCTGTCTGAGCCCATTGTTGCAGCCACTGTAGCAATCCGTCTTAGAATATTCCTCTTTTTCTTTTTTTTTATTGTACTGCAGGTGGAGGCTTACAGAACAAATAGTTTCTCATGAAACACAAGTACACGTGTTGTTTTATGACATTGGTTAACAACCCCACAACATATCAACCCTCTAACTTCTCAACCTCTTGTTTTGTTTTTTTTGTTTTTTTTTGGTGAAAATACACCTAGCCAAAGACACACCATTTCAAAAATTTCTACATGCACAGTTCAGTGACATTGACTACGCTCTTCCAATTGTGCTGTTATTCTCATTTAAGATGAAGGCTTACAGAACAAAATAGTTTCACATTTAACAGTTACTACAAATGTTGCCCTCTGACAATAGTTAAAAATCTCACAGCACATCAACAATATCCTTACTCAAACTTGTGTTCCCTATCACCAGCTTCCTTGTCCCCTTCTGCTTTCTGGCCCTTGTCACTGGACTCCTGTACCTAGTAAGTCTCATTTGGTTTTATGGGGCTGTCCACTCGCAGGCTGAACAGGGAACCTCGGAGGTAACTTCACCACTGAG